AGATCGGAAGGATTTGCTACCAAATCCCGAGATCAGCAAAGGAATCTTCCATTTCTTTCCCAATTCCCTGCGGTGTAGTCTCCAGTTATGGAGTTTCCGTTGATGAATATTCAGTGAGAGAATGAGAAATTGCAGACTGGGGGAAAAGTGAGGAAACGTATAGAATCTATTGAGTTCATGCGAAATTTTTAGAAGTTACTTTTTATCGAGACGTACAGCTTATGAAATAATTAAGAAAATTTAACCTTTCTTAACAAGTGATAGAAGTACATTTATTATTCCACATCTAAAAAGATATACACTTTTAAGAGCCAAAACATATGACCAACCCTACATTTTACAATGAATTCGGAATGGATGACGTGGAAGGCACGTGATCGGGTGGAAGTGGTATTTAACTGCTGCTGGAGAGAGTCTGAAGAATCATTCTTTCACTTACTTCTGTGTGTGATGGGAAAGGCTGCGTGATCTAAGCGACTTTGATAGAGGGCAGATTGTAATGGCTCGAAGGCTCGGAACAAGTATTTCCGAAACTGCACGACTCGTTTGTTGTTCGCGATCTACAATTGTTAGTACTGATGCAAAGTGGATGAATGACGGTGAAACCAGCAGCAGACGACATGGTGTTGGACGTCCACACGCTATCAAAGAAAAGGTCCATGCAGACCATGAATGCTACAGGGTATCTGAACATCATTGCGGACCAAAGGTTGCACCCTTACATGGCCTCTGTTTTTCCAGCTGGAAATGGAATGTTCCAACAGGACAACGCCCCTTGTCACAAGACTAAAATTGTGTTGGAGTGGTTCCAGGAACGTGATGCTGAATTAAAGTTAATGTCCTTTCGCCTAACTCACCGGATCTCAATCCGATAGACACATTTGGGATGTCCTGGGGACGGCAGCTCAGAGTTCAAAGACCACCAATTCGCAATATCTCGGATTTTCTTTGGCCGTTGCTTAAACATCTGGTACAATCTTGCCCGGCCATCTACCAAGGACTTGTGGCATCCATGCCAAGGCGGGGTTGAATCTGTGTTGGTGCCAAAGGTGCGCCAACTCGTTATTGACAGGTGGACATAATGTTTTGCTCTTGAGTGTATATTTTTATTAAGAGTACTTTATATAAAGTGGCAGGACCACCTCTATAAAAATTGGAGTGGTGGATTCTCCAAACTGTGTTTTGTGACTCTAGGGCAGCCTATGACTTTTGAAAATTTTAATCATTGTAATGCACTTTTTCAGTATGAGTGCATGGTCAAAAGTACTAAAGAGCCCATGAACTAATGCCTTAGGCACTAAAGTTCGGTAATAAAATAGTAAATAAAATTTAAAAAAATATAGACAAAACTTATGGTAGAAAAAATTAACTGATTTTTTCAAGTATGGATGCATTGCCATGATATACGTGTGAATATATCAAATATGATAAATAAAAATATTTTTTATGTAATGAAATTACAAAACATGAAGCACAGATAGAATGAAAATATTGTTAAAAGATTTTGCAGTTATCAAATAATTTCGAAGCTAACCTAGTAAAAAATTATTTTTATATAATAGCAAAAATTTCTCTATAGTTTTTATTTTAAACGCATTTTATGATATAACCACCTTTTTATTTCTGGATTTTTATTTCAATGATTGTGTTCGTTACTCTTTTATATTTAACTGCTTTTTATTTGTCCGTGTTGACAGAAGAATGCAGACAAAGACGTATAGAAATATAACTATAAATGTATGAATAATGCGATGCATTTAAACAACATTATTTGTTTTATCGTCATCATATGCCATATCATTAAAACACTTAATTAGAACATAATAATGCGATTCTCACTGTTTAACATTTTAAAATGACAAATTTAAAAAAATGAATTTAAGCAAATTTTTTTTCTTCTAATGCAGCTGGCAAACACTTAGACAGCTTGGTCTTGGAGGCCTTAAGGCAAGTGCTGCACAGACGTTACTCACTTTGCATTACCCAGAGGGTGCGTGTAACTTGAAGATAAGCCACGGACGAGGTAACAATGCCCCCGCAACGCTCTACGATCCTATGAGCCCGGGACCTACGGTTTAAAATTCCACTACTAACATCCATGGCACCGCCGGGACCCAACCCGAAACCTGTGGTACCGAACGCCAGAGCGCTAGCCACTCGGCTATTCAGGCCCTAATTCAAGCAAATAAAACATTTATATTCTTTTTTATTAGTATTTAAAACTAGATTGCATTGTTTTCTGCTATATTCTAAAATATTCCCATCGGATTAAACTAAAAAGAAAATGTACTTAGAAAAACATAAAACTTCAAAGAAAATTTACAATTTATTTCTGCATTTAATACACAATGTATTGAAATCCGTAGAAACTACTTACCCTTTATATGCAGAACAATTTTTTAAAATTTTTTAAACTTTTCCAGCAATACATGTAAGAGTAATTTTTTTTTCCTATAAAAAGGCTCTTAGTATTATGCCTCGTAGGTACTTGTGTCACAATACGTGATTTGAAGCGGAATAAGTCGTTGAATTTCGTTAAAGTCAAAAGGAATTCTCAAAATATAAAGAGGCTTTTACAGTAAAGCAATGTTATAAAAGAAGGGCATTTGAAAAATATTCGATACTGTTTCTTTGAAAGGGATTATATGCTACCGATAGAAATCAGAATTCTGTTACTCTTGGTTATCCAAGAAGCTAAAAGAAAACGAAGTAAATCAAGCCATTATTTAGATTTAAAAATGCATATTATTTTTTTTTAAATTAACCAAACAATTAAATTCGAAGTGAGGGATATTAAATTATTAAATAATCAATATTTACCAGGTATGAAAAATGAAAACCTCTTCTTTTTTTTTTTTCTTTTTTTTTTTATAAAAAATAAGCCAATTGAATTCAAGCAGAAAATTAAAATATCGCCAATGGCGGCAAAATTTGACGATATGGACAAATAAAACTGTGTTAAACAATTACTGTGTTTTTCTAAAACATCTTCTTCATACATTTCCCAATTTGATCATTATCTCTGATGATAAAATGATCTGTGCACTAAGTATTTTCAGATATTTGATAGACACAATGATTAATACAAAACATGCCTTCAAAGTTTATAATTAGCTGATGTTCAAATATATTTTAAGATTTTCAAATAAATGTTAACTTCCTTTCTTTTATTTATATATTTTAAAAATATGTTTATCGTATTGTACAACATATTTATGCAATATAGCATATTGGAAACAGAAATTCAGTTGCTCTTGGTTATCCAATAATCTAAAAGAAAACGAAGTAAACAAAGCCACTATTTAGATTTCAAATACATATTTATTTTTTTTTAAATTAACTAAACAATTGAATTGAATTGAGAGATATTAAATTATTGAATACATCAATGTTTACCAGGTATAAAAATTAAAAAATTTTCTTTATTTCTTAAAACTTACATTTTTTGTGAAAATGCTGATTTTTATTGTAATAAGCCAATTATATCAAGTAGAAAACTAAAAATATCGCCAAGGTGAAGAGTTGGCGACAAATTTGGCGATGCGCTCAAATAATGTTATATTATTGAAAGTTTGCTTTTTATTGTGTTTTTTTAAAACATCTTCTTCATGCATTTTCCGATTTCATCATAATCTCTGATGATAAAATGATCTGTGTATCAAAATTCATAAATGGCTGTTGATCAAGTATGATTTCAGATTTTCAAATAAATTTTAACTTCTTTCAATATCATATTTTTATGTACATCTTTTAAAAATGAATTTATTGCATTTTACAACATATTTATGCAATATTACATCAGATAACTTTGAATACTAATGAATTTATTGTATTGATTCGGTAAACGGCCTGAATCCGTTGCAGATGTTTCGATGTATATCAAACGAACTTTTTCCATGAGAACCAACGAGAAAATTATTTCTTCGTTCTCATAAAAACTATTGAGATTAGCATATTAATAATTAATTAAATTGTAGGAAATGATAAAAAACAACGATTAATACTTAAATACACTAATAAAATGCAAGTAAATATGCATACACAAAAATAATAACTCATTATGTTTCAATTGTCCACTCCAAAAAATGTCTATAGTGGGACTACGTTTAATATGGGGATATATAATTTTATTTACAGCCCGTAGAGTTATGAGGCATTTCCAAAGTGGCCAACAAGACCATTTGGGTTGCCCCCCTCCCGTGCTCTACAGTCAAATTAGACATGGACATACTACTTAAGGTGGATTCAAAACCACTACAAACATCCATGGCACTGCCGGGACGCGAACAAAAACTTGTGGTACCGGAGTGCCAGAGCGCTAGTCACCAGTCATCAGGCCCTCCTACAATCTTTGATGCTCAAACATATAGTGTTAAAATATTTTTGTTGTTCAAATTGATATTCAAATATATTTTAAGATTTTCAAATAAATGTTAACTTCCTTGCTTTTATTTATATATTTTTAAAATATATAAATAAAAATATATTATATTATTTATATATTATTTATAAATATTATATATAAATATATTATTTAATATATTTTATTAAATAACTTCAAAAGTAACTATTAAATAAAGAAAATTAACTAAATTAATTTTTTTTTTTACTTCGACTGGGTTTAGTGTAACCACATTTGATGTTTACAAAAAGAAAAATCTTGAAAAAAAAAAAATTACTCCTGTTTTCTCCTCAGAATATTTCGGAGATGTGATATTATACGGTTATCCCAGACATCTGTTTGTTTCGTCTTAGTTTGTGTGGCAATAATTACGTTTGGATTTTTTAGCGCTTTATTAGCATCCTTTTGTTATTCAACATTTGTAAATATTTCAAAACACAAGTTAATCATATTACAAACGAAGATTGTGCAATTACAAAATGTTCCACTTTTTAAAATAAGACATAGTGTATGAAATTTTGACTTCTTCCATAGCTGACTTGTAGAAATGTTTCATTGCATTTTTTTCCTAATATTTCAATTATTATTTTGCGCCAAAGGCCATACCATGCTGAATATACTTGGGTTATCGTTAGATCACCGAAGTCAAGCATCATTGGGCGCGGTCAGTACTTGGGTGGGTGACCACCTGGGAACACCGCGTGCCTTTGGCATTCGCAAATTTGGGACCTGAATGGCCGAGTGTCTAATGCTCGCTCTGGCGCTCGGTGCCATGGATGTTTGTAGTGGTTCGAAATTCACTTTAAGCCGTATGTCCCGGTCTCCTATGACTGTAAGAGCGTCACGGAGCCAAAGTCAGACTTCTACCTATGGGTGCTCCATCACAACAGAAGCTGCTTCCTTCCCCTTCAATCATGAGTACGTATGGGCTCGTGGGCGTGTCCAGGCAAGTGGGATAAGAAACAACAAACAAAACATTATTTTTTTTTATTCTGACAAGACAGTCATCGATAATGGTTTTTTAGGTGATTTAATGATTTCATATTGTTTTTAAAAGAAATAATCTATTAGAACTTTTAAAAAATAATGAAATATATTTTTTTTTTATCTTTGATTACATCTGTTGAAACAGAAAATTAGTGAGATTAAAGATTAAATTGAATGAGGAAATGAAAAAAAATTTAAATGAAGAATTTAGCTATTTAATTTGGGAATTCACCATTTAATTAAATCAAAAGAGCAAACTTCGCCATTTATTTAAAATTTAATGGCGAAAAATTAAATGGTGAAATTCAGTTACAGATTTTTAATTTTATATATTGCTGCCAAATTTTCTTTTTAAATGTGCATTATAACTATTTAATTTTATTAAATTGACAGTTTTTATAATTTAATTGAATAAAGTTTAAAATGTATTTTCTTTTAAATGTACAAATAACTACATAATTTTATTAAATTGGCAGTTTTTATAATTTGAATGAATTAGTTTATTGTGAAAAATGTTTTTATTTCACCAAAGCAAAGTTAGTTTAGTTATGTTAAATATACTTTTATCCAAAATATTGTAATATCGCCAAGTTTACGAAACATGTAATACACAAATTGCCATTGAAAAATAAATTTCTTATTAATAAATTTTTACTTTTTAAATTTTTCTAAAAAGATTTTCTTAATAAGATACCAGGCAAAAATTTGTCTGCTGATTGAAACATAAAAATTGCTTGAAGACTTCCTTTTTCTTTCCTTTATATTGATGGTTGGTAAGGTATAGGTTTACTTGTAATATATATATATATATATATATTTATATTATCGTTTTTATATTTTAATCTTGTTTTATAAATAAAGCCATGCATTAACATTTAATATGTAGCATATCATCATAATAAAATTACCTTGGAAAGAATTGCATTCACGAAAAAAAAAAAAAATTGCAACAGCGCTTTACATATTTAACAATGCCTCTTTTATATATATAATGCAAATCTTCTATTTATAAAGAATTTTCAGTTGAGATTCATTTCTAAATTTTTAAAATTCTCAAAATTCATACAATTATTTTACAGTTCTTTTGTCAAATGTTAATATCATATTCGTATGACATTGATATTTTCATCATTTTGTTATTCATAGCCTAGAAATATATTTTTATACTATTATTTGTATTTATAGATATTTATCAGAATAAAATATCACATTTACAGCTATCCAATCATTCAAAATTTATAAAATATTTGACACGTTTTATGTAAAACAGTATAGTAATATGAAAAATAATTTTTATAATTTCAAAATAATAATTGAAATAATAATAATGGCTTTAATATAATACATTTTTAAAGCCACTTACGTTAATTAAAAATTTCTTTCAATTTCTATTTCATAATTTTAAGAACAAAGTATTAAAATTATTATGTTTACGAATTTAAAATGTATTTTTTTTTCAATTGCACACTATCTAAAAGAATAAAGAAACTAAACAAAAAAGCTTTAAAAACAATAGATATATAGTATATAATGCGTATTAAAACAAGTTACTTTAACTTGTGTCATTTTCAAATACATTGCGTTTGAAGGAAATATTAATTGTGATACTTTTCACTAAACTTTGTAAACGCAAGAATGTAATACCATTCAAAAACATCTATATGAAAACAGAGTTCATTGAGTAAATTGCTATATTGTTGTCACATATGGTGGAAAATATTTGTCTGGTTGTCACACAGTCTTATGGGATTCCATCAAAGAAATTCCTCCCCATATAGCTTGGAGCCATTTCTATATCCACAAACAACGACACAGTGATTGGAGAATGTGCTCAATCGATCAGGAAAGTAGTTACATTTATTAAGTTGAATTCAACGAAATCTAGACTGTTCAATCTTTTGTATTAAGAGATGGACAGCTTTCACAAAACATCACTTTGGCACACCGAAATGAGACAGCTTTAACGAGAGAAGGTACTCATAAGATTACGTGAATTGAAACAGCAATTTCAGCACTTTTTTTCAAGATCATCCTATTCAGTTTGAGCTTTACGTTTCACGAAAGAAAGTGTCTTCAACAGCTCGCATACTTATCTGATACTTTTTCCGAAGTAAATAAGCTTAACGTAGGATTACAGACCATTTTTAAAATGGCCCTTCAGGTGTCCAATAAAATCGATTCTAATCTCATTCTTAATGACAGTTTTTTCAATCGTTGTATTCGTAACAAGTTTTTCGTCGAATAAAATTCAGAAATTGAAACTAATACAGTATTCAGTTATCTAAAAAGAAAAGAAAAATTTTCAACTTCAGTCCATAAGTAGGTCAGTAAGTAATCCGGTAACGTAGAACTGCAAGATGAGAAAGAAGACATTCTTCATCTTAAAGAGATAACATGGAAAATAAGAGAAGATAGCATTACTAGTTGTAAGCCACTGAAACGAAAGATTCTTCTACGATTTCGAAGATTATCCGTTCATGCTGAAAATATCTAACATGAAATTGTTTGATGAAGCCAAAAGAATGAAATTTCACAGAAAATCGGATTTGGGAAAAAAGCGCTTGCACAGTGTTTTTTTGTTTTGTTATAAAATAAGGGTGTCTTGGAGATCTTTGATATCCATATTCTGCATGATCACATTTGAAATAATTTTTTGCATGGGTTTGAACAATAAGTTTTCAAAAGTAAAAAATATTTTAAGAGTTTTTGTTAATTATGCTTCCAGGATTTACTTCATATTGTAACAGTGTTTTCTTGTAAATGTGTAACTAGTATTTTTATATTTTCAATAATTATTTCCATTTAATTTGTTGGAATATATTTGACTCCTTTATTTATTTACTTTTTTGAGTAAAAACAATCCAAATATACAGTGTACAATGTAACATATTTCTAACGGCCAACGAATTTAGTGATCCTGGTGATTTTTTGGTGACATGTTCGACTTTTTGACACGTGAATTGAAACATCAATTTCAGCACTTTTTGAAGACCATCCTTTTCAGTTGTGCTTCACATTTCAGGAAAGAAAGTGGCTTCAGCAGCTTGGATACTTATCTGATACTTTTTCCGAAGTAAATAAGCTCAGCTTGAGAATCGCTTTTGTTTCAGTCTGAATTAGCGCGAGGTCAACGTTGACGCTGGATTTGCGCAAATTGTGACATGATTAACCGTTTCTTAAAAAATGCAAAAGTTTGTTAGTTTTAGTTTAGTCTGGGCCTGAATGGCCGATTGGCTAGCGCTCTGGCGCTCGGTACCACAGGGTTTCGGGTTCGAGTCCCGGCCATGGATGTTTGTAGTGGTTCGAATCCACTTTAAAACCGTAGGTCCGGTTTAATAGGGTCGTAGAGCGTTGCGGGGAGCATTGTGACTCCGCGTCTGTGGCTTATCATCAAGTTACACGAGCCCCCTGGGTAATGCAAAGTGAGTAACATCTGTGCAGCACTTGCCTTTTAAGGCATCCAAGACCAAGCTGTTTAAGTGGTCAGCTGCCTTAGAAAGAAAAGAAAAGTTTAGTCTTTTGCGTTGTAGCCATTGCTTTGTAATAATTGATTTACGCTGTAAAATTAAATAAGCCATGCCGAATATACCGGTTCTCGTTTAGATCACCGAAGTCGAAAGCATCATTGGCCGCGATCAGTACTTGGGCGGGTGACCACGTGAGAACGCCGTTGGCATTCACAAATTTGGGACTGAATGGCCGAGTGTCTAGCGCTCTAGCGATCGGTGCCACAGGTTTCGGTTCGAATCCCCGGCTGTGCCATGGATGTTTGTAGTGGTTCGGAATCCACTTTAAGCCGTAGGTCCCGGTCTCCTATGACTGTAAGAGCGTAACGGAGCTAAAGTCAGTCTTCTACCCACGGGTGCTCCATCACAACAGAAGCTGCTTCCTTCCCCTTCAATCATGAGTACGTATGGGCTTATCATACCTATCAACTAAAAAAAAAAATTGGTCTGGATTTTTTTTTATATAAATTCCAACTAGCCCCAACTATCAGTTTTTGTCAATTATAAATAAATTAAGACTGAAAGATTTGATTGAGTAAATAGTTGATTTAGAAAAATTAAAAGATGAAAGTTTCCATGCACAATTTCATTTGAGAGACAATATCAAAGAAAGAGCATAATTGAAGAGAAATTCTATGAATAATTCCTTTTACTTAAAACATTATTTTTAAATGAATGACTTTAACTTAAACGCCTATTTAATATTCTAACTTACATTCATAAAAAATTATTTCATCGCTTCGTTTCTAAAATTTAATCATGGCATTAAGAATATTGAAAACAAGTGGGGAGGGATTATTTTTAAGTGAAAATAAAAAACTAGTGACGTTCAAACTAACACATTATCGGCTGTTAATAATAGTCAAAAAATTACAGTATTCTAAATATCGCTATTATCTTTTCTAAGCTTATTTCTGTAAATCACGGGTAATAATTTTTATTAATTATTATTTTTTTTTGTTATTTTTAATGAAATGTTGAAATATGCATTAAATCCGATACAATTTGTCTTTTTTTTATATAGTGTATGAATACTAATTACTGTTTTGTATAAGGCTATTGACGTGAGTAACAAATGCATTGAAAGATCTTAGTTGAGCTGACGCTAAGCATTCTGCTCGGCCATCATGAAATCCACTCTGTTATTAAAGTAGTGATTACAAGGCATGCCACCATCAAGATTTGAAAATATATTGATTTTCCAACTATTTACGAATATACTATAGAGTAAAGCGTTAGGCAGGGTAATTTAACCTTGAAAACATTTAATGTTGTTGAATTTAGTTCTAAATCCTTGTTTTGTTTACTGTCAGAAAATATTAACCTCAGACAAAAACATTAAAGTCATAATTTTCCATGTGTCAATGTGTCTCTCAGATACATTGTGTCGCAAAATATTTCCATAATTTAGCTAGAAACTGTTTAAACTTGGTTTTCGGGTATTTCGAAGCTATAATAGTTTGATAGGCTTAACTAAGTTACAGAATCTTCCAGAAAGGCATTACCTTTTGGTTGAACTTAAAACGGCACTTCAAGAAAGAGCGAAGTTTGCTTTTCAAACTACCGCCAGAATTGCTCACGGCAATCTTTTCTAAATTTCCAGAATCGAATTCTTCTGTTTTCCCTCGTAAATATTTTAATTCTTAAATACATTATGAAACTTTCTAAAACTTCCGTATTTATTCTGGGAATACCTTCTCTTTCTTAATACATAGTGCTTGTTATTAATATTTTACGAAATTGGTTAAGACAAAGGTATAAATCCTTTTCAAAATATTTAAAGGGCTTCTAACTGGAATAATATTAGTAAATATTCACATAAACAATTTTAAACTCTTTGCATCAAGTTGCAAATGTGTATTTCTCTTAAAAAAAGTATTTAGCACGTAATTTAATTTGTCTTTTTTCATGAAATAAATGAAACCATTCTCATTTAAAACGAAGAGAACCTGAAAATATTTTATTTTTGTTTAAAGAAATGCTTTGGAAAATGTTGAAAATATTAAAGTGACTATAATGGGTGAAGTGAATATTATGATATTCTGAAAATTTTATCACTCATGTATAGTTTTAGAATGCTGTTTAATCTTCTTGATTAGTTGAACATGTTACTATTTTAAAAAATTTTTCTTCAACTGTTACTACTACATCACAACAAATGACACCATATTACTACGTCTAGAACTGAGAAACCCCTTTTTAGTTTTAAGCATGTCCAACTGTAATGTTGGACGAAATCTCCAAAAAATTTTTCTACATTTTAATTCTCCATTTTTAAATGAATAGAGGCAGATAGAGTTCCCTTAATAGACCTAGTTAGATGGATGACTCCGCTTCTAAATTATAAGACGAATATGAATAATGGATACCAGGAAAAGCATTTTCTATAGTAGGTAGTGAAAAAAAAAAAGGTTACGTGTGAGGAATTCGAACTTTTATTTCATTTACTTTTTTTTTTACCTTTCGATGAATCGTTTGATCTCTTTTGTGATCTCTTGTACGTTTGTATAGAATCATATTTAAATTGCAAAATATAATTCGTGTGTAATTCTTAGAGAAAAAAACATTCGCTACATAATTTGTTTTGTTTTCTTATAAATAACAGATTTTTTTTTATTAGAAACTAACTATAACTTTAAATTTGTTTAATATTTAATTTATTCGTTTATTAATTTTTTATAAAAATGTAATTGTTCAAATTAAAACTTCAAATTAAAAAAAAAATTTCATAGTTGTAAACATTCATGTCTTTAAAGTAAGAACTTAAAAAAAAAAAATGCCTAACTAATATTTACTAACTTATTACTAGTATTAACTAAAATACTTATTTAAAAATATTTTTAAATTCTAAGTTCTAATTAGAACTTTAAAACATTTTCAGAATTTTTGTATATTCACGTCAAAGTATGAACTTAAAAATAAAATACGTAACTAATATTTAAAATTCGATAAAATATCATTTACTATTCAACTACCTCATCGTGACTATGAAAAGATGATATTTTTTGTATTTGTATAAAAGAAAAAATTTAAAGCACTTTTTGTTTAGTGGTCTTTAATAATCCCCAAATCAAGCCAATTGTTCCTCGCTTTACATCACTTTGCCTCAGCCAATGATGAGAATACAAGGACAACATCTTGACACCATTCATCAACCCTGACATATATCAAGGTCAATGATGTCCTCCCACAACACTGATATCCATCATGTTCCAGAAATGTTTGACGTGTTTTCGAACAGATTGAAACGTCGACAAATGCTGAGGCGGATATTGACACCTTTTTTTCTTTTTGCCCAAGGGTGAATGATTAATACCGACCTCCAACCGGTATTCACTCTGGCTAAAGTCATGGAATGAACCTCTGAAGCTAACAGATTGGAAGAAGAAGCTTTGGGAAGTTCGCAACCTTCCCTAGCGAGCAGACCAGCAATTCCATTTCCGTAGATGCCTACATGGGAGGGAATCCACTGCAAGCACACTGATTGGTCAAAAACAGCTAGTTTAGAAACTATATCCTGCCCCAATTTGTCCAAGATGCTTGGCCAATCTTTCAAATACTGAGAATAAATCTAAAACCTTTTTTACATCTAAGAAATGAAATGCCGTTTTATTTTTATTTATATGTAGAATATTGATATTAAGCTTAATCGATATTTCCATAAATTGGTGAGTGGCCATCTAAGTTTCAAAACGGACAAATGCTGTTTCAAATCTAAATTAACGAAGTTTAATAAAAATAACACATGCTAAAGAAGAATATAATATATATATATATAGACTAGAAAAATACCCATTAGGTTTGAGAAGCTGACTGTAAACTTTACAAGTAAAAGCAAGCTGTAAATATGAAATTTGTTACATATAGTGATGGCATAATGTGGGTGTAGCGTAGGAGAATCTCTGTGGCAATTGTAAGTAATGATGAATTTGCTATATAGTTGTCGTTTAGTAGCGAAATATCTTGGGTCAGATATTTGGTAAATAGATACAACATACATTTTCGTACAAAAGTCTTACTGAATGACATTCTTTCATGACAAAGAAAATAAAAAGAAATATTCTTTAAACTGCAACATGCATCGCGATGTATAGCTCATTTTTTAAATTTACACGTATTATAACAAATTTTTTTCAAATAAATAAAATATATACGTATTCCAAGATATTTGTCTTGTATAATTGTGGTCGATAAGATATTTTTAACATTATATATTATTGGAGACTTCTTTTATTACGATGGGATATAAGTGATAATACTGTCTGATTTTAATGAAATAATTTTTTGAAAGTTGATTTCAAATGCCTGAAGATTTAGCTCCATTTGTCAAAGAATGGGGATACATGAAATATACAGCTTTACCTGAAATACTCTGCTATATACCATTTTGCTAGTCATGGCTAGAAGTGAAAATTTCCGAGAGTAACATATAGCTACTTATTCTTCCAGCACAACTGAAAAGCATTTCAGCATGTAGATTTATTGTACCAAACAAAAGGAATTTCCTTTTTCGCATTGAGGATTACATGCTCCAACAAATCGAATCTGTAATTTTTGAGAAAAATTCTCTCAATTTATTTTTTATGGTGCTAATGAGAGTATAAATATGAAACTTTATTAATAAATTAAAAATATTAATCCCTCTTTCAATTTCTTTAAACCCTTTTTGACAGGTTTAATCTTTTGAGTTAGTTATCGTTTTACGGATATAAGTACACTAATTTGTAAAAGCATTTCTCTTTCTGGTTATTTAAGATTTCAATTCTATCAAACGCTTAGTGTTTATATTTTTAAATTTTAAGTGTTCAATGTTTCTATGTCCTTTTTTAGAAAAATATGAATGAATTTTATGGTTTAAAAAAGGTTGCAGCTTATCAAAAATTTGTTTTTTTAGTACTTATTAAACTACATTGTCAATTAATCTTTCATGATAAAATGGGACCCTTAAAATTATTTGTATTAAAAAAAACATGCTTATTTTTACAGAATTATGATAGAACGCAAACTATCATGTAAATAATTGCATAGGATCTGCAATCATTGAATTGTATTCAACTTGACAAGTTGATTAAGCTAGACTGTAAGTAAACAAGAGTTCGATTCCTGCTTGTCAGAGTAGGTAAAAAGTCAGTGCTTTAAAAAAAATGAGACTCCCCGCTGAT